AAAATACCTTTTTTTGACATCTTAGCAAACTCAAATTTTATAAAACGCGCTTCTCATTTCCTGCTTTCCTTTTCTCCTTTATTGATGTTCAGAAAATAGTTTCGTCTTTAATACCATTCCTCTTAAATTGAAGGATTCATTGCAGATGAAGCGATAACCATGCAGTGACGCTACGTCCATGGTCGTTTGTAATTGCACAGCAAAATCGATTTAGTTGACCAACGAAAACAATATAATAAAATGCCATTCAAGTAGCTTTGGATAATGTTGTCCACGAAATTTGTCCCATCTGTCAATTTGATTCCCTTGTTCATTTATAAAAAGCTTTCTTGCAAAGTTTACCGTAGGATATCATCGGCTGCAGATAATGCTGACCACATTTCTGACTTTGATTTATCAGAGAGGCTTGCATAATGCACATAAAATGAGTATTAAACATTTTATTCAAAACAGCTTCCTAAGCAAAACAACAAGATTGATAGTCATTTTGTTCCCGAAAAATTTTCGATCAACAGTATTTCCTTCAATTTTTTCCGATCTAAGTTATGGATTGAACGCTTTAATCCAAACTTTTTCTTCTCTCAAATTCTCACTCCATATACACCCTTTTTTAACCTATTCTTAAAAATTTGAGCTCGACATACTAGTACTCACCAATTTCCGCAAACTCTTTAAACCACTGATTCGCTCACTTCAAATATTTTGAACAGAGCATGTGGTTTGTTTCAGAACTTTTCTTTTAAAAAAGCGATTGTCTTTTTGATGTAACATATGCTCCATGCTTTTTTATAGGTTGGTTAAAAAATAAGTTCGCTCTGGCATAAAATGTTCCTAAGAACTGCTCTTGCTCTTTTTATCTATGATTTTTGAGGATAAAGTAGTTTAAAGATTCCTCTATCACACATCAGTCAATTAGAGCTTTGTTTTTTTCTCTAAAAACAGTTATGTCCCAGCAGAGCTAAAGGCTCATCTGCTACTTTCGAACTTAGTATGTATGTTATAATAGATGTAGAGAACCACAGTTTGTATTTGGATAAAGACAAGTTTTCCTTGTTTAGGGAGGAGAATAATTGTGATTTGCCATGTCAAATTTTTCAATCCAAAAGACTAAATTCTCTTACTTTTGCGACATGAAAATTGGGACTTCTCACTTTTTTGCGCATTTATTTCATTGGAAATTACACTCAACTCAAACAAGATATACGTGGGGTTCTTAAAGGAATGTGCCTACTGTTTGATTGCTGATAAATCTCTTGTCCTGTAGTCGTTCGAAAAGCTTTAGGTACCATTTTGTAGAGCTGCTTTCAACTTAGGCACACAGTTTGAAGCGGATCATCGATTGCTTTATGCAGGTGAGCAGTGGCAGCCGTTATTTCGTTGCTCCTAAAAAATGTGGTAACACCATTCAAAAAGCTTCAAATCTTTGTACAAAGTTGATTATCAAGCTCAGCGTCCATGAAAACCCTATCGCACAAGTTTAGATCTATTTTATATTTGATATATGGCTGCTTTTTCATCGCGGGCCATCCGCCGGAAGTTTCTACCGTAATCCTGCAGTAGTGCGATCGATGGTTTGCTTTATGCTGTGAACCAAAGTTGAGCCAGCCCTACAAATTCGTACCTAAAGCTCTTCGAAAGACTCCAGGGTAAGAGAGTTATTGACAATCAAACTTTCGGGACACCCTGTATACTCCAATTCTCGTTGACGTGCTCTTTCCAGAGATACCGAACACTGAACAAGAATTTCTCCAGCGCTTCAGCCTCCAGCGCTTGTAAGAGGCACATTGTTTTCCTTTTGCATTTGTGCATGAAGTTTGTAAGACGGGCTTCGTTTTTAGGCAGCGTTTTAATTTCTTCGTTGCAACTTCATTTTTTGAAAGAGTACTAGTGAGTACAAATTACCTGTTGGATATATTGTGGAGGAAGGAGTTTTAATCTTTATTAACACTCATGAAGAGCAACATTGCGTTGTGTGCCCAGTGGGGAAAGGAGGAGCCAAAGTGTATCCTGGCATCCCAAAATCATTTGGGTCAAATTGATGTTTTGTTGCCTTCCTAGCTCTATCTCTAACCCTTGCTGAGATTTCCGAAAACGCTAAATAATCGGTTCAAAAAGACGACAGAGGAAATATTAGATTAGCACCTAAGTTTTGAAACATTTCCCCTAATTTTTTCTTATATTCCTTTCTTCTATCGTATTTGTGTGCAACGTTCCTGTTTTGGCTCCTAAAATCCTCATAACTTCTTACCTAAAAGCCCGCAGGCAGTTAGCGAAGGCAGATTTGGAATCAGCGTTCCAAAACCTACAAAGCGTTTAACATCTCATCTTAAAAGGTCACTTTGACCAACCTTCCTTCTCTTGTGGATATCCTTTCCTTGCAAGCTAATTTTCGTTTTTAGCCATTGTGTTTTATTCTCATCTTCTCGCAATTTTTCGTTCGACAAATCCACTCCTTATGTCGTTTTATACGTTTTAGCTTATGACAGACAGATGGAAACGGAGGAGGAGATTGCGATATTGGAGATGGGCCAGGAAATTCTTTGTTGTGGGTTGCAGATAATTCGATATATTTTACTTTACATTCGCATTCAAATTTAAGAATCAACTTTATCGCCTGCTGATAACAAGTATATTAAACTTTTTGTAAGTGATTATTATACTTAGAAATCATGTTGGAAAAGCGAGTTATAATTGAAGTTTTTGTGCGTAGCCACACTTTTGCTGAAACTTTCAAATTGTCACGATATTGAGGTAATTTCGTGTTTTGTGTAGATAACAACGCTCAAGAGAAAACAATGTTTTTTGGGCTTTCATATGCGTTCATGCAATCTTATATATAAAGCTGAATGTCTGTTTGTATGTCTGTCTGTATGTATGTATGTATGTATGTACGTATGTTCCGAATAGAAAATTCCATTTCTGAACCGATCCGGACCAAACTTGGCACACATACACTACGGGCCCCGGCGGGTGTCATAGGCTACTTTTCGTCATCGATCGATATCGATTTTATCGATTTTTATCGATTTTTTTGCTGAGTTCACCTACGGGGCTGGGAGTTGGCACAGGGGGGTAATCGAGCATGGGGATTCCGAATACAATATTGGTTTTTCAGGATTATCGATTACTTTTATCGATTTTATCGATTTTTTTTTGCAAAGTTTGAGCTACGGGGCTGGGAGTTGGCACAGGGGGGTAATCGAGCATGGGGATTCCGAATACAATATTGGTTTTCGGGATTATCGATTACTTTTATCGATTTTATCGATTTTTTGCAAAGTTTGAGCTAGGAGGCTGGGAGTTGGCACAGGGGGGTAATCGAGCATGCTGATCATCCCCAAGGGGGTGCTGATCATCCCCAAGGGAGCACATATTACCGTCTCGAAACGTGGATTCCAAGGTCCGTATGCACGTATATGCCCGCTGGGGAGGCGCGTGGATGCTGAGACGGGACACGTCATACCTCGCTACTCTAGGTATCTTTCTTCTTCTTTCTCTGTTTTGCTTTTCATCCTTGTTTCCCATCTGAAAATAAGCGTCGAAGAAAGGAGGACGGCTTGGCCGCAACTTTTTGGCTGGCACTGTATGAAGTAAGAGTATATCAGTGGCGGGCCGAGGGGAGGAATAGATCGCGAAGCTACTCCCGTGTTATCAATGTGCATCGACCCGCTCACTCAAACCGTGTACCAACTATTAGTACTCTGAGTTTGCAAAAACTGATAAACTATCAGCATGCTATCTTACCAATCCGCATCAAATCTCTTCAAGCTAAGGGTAATTTGAAAGCAGCTGCTATGTTCGTATTCAATATGCACATCATTTATCCCTCCCCCCCCCCCGTGCCGACGCCCACCCTTCCAGCTTTTACCTGGAAAATCAATAAATCGGTATCGGTGTGTTAACGAAAACTACTATGGGGCACCCGCCTTTTCCGAAGGTGTTTGCAACGTTAGGTCTCCAACTCAGAAGTGGTATCTGTTTAAAACCCAAGCAAAGGCACTCGCAGACTGACGCAAATAAACAAAGACATTGAGCTCAAATTGAGTTTTTCGAAATTAATGCAGGTCTGTAAACGCATTTTCTTTTCAACCACTCTTTTGTTCAATACACCATTCATTCTTTTTCTGAAACGATTCTACAAAATACCCAGTAAAAAGCATGGTCACTTTTCGGAGCCATACAATGGGCTACAAAACTTTTCTTTATAAAGCAATCATACAAATCTTTCTCCGTGAAATGAGAGTAAGATCAGTGCTGTCATAAGCAAGCTGAGGTGGGACCTTCCAGTAACACGCTCAGAATTTCTGATGGTCACAGTCAAAAAAATTGGAGAAAATGGACAATTTTGATTTCTCATTTTTTTGTTTCGCAAAAAACCCTGGGAATTCTAGATACTCGCTAGCAGAGTCTCGTGGCTACAGAGCCGATGTTTCCCGCTAACACTCTTTTCGAACAATTTAGATCTTGTCAAAGAGGACGTTGCTAAAAACTTTTGTTTTCCGCTTTACAGTAAGTCGCCTGTTGTAGCTACTGGAACCATTGCATAAGCATTAGTTAAAGTTTTCATATAAAAGCTTTTTCAGCATAGTTTTCATCACATTATGTAATAAAATTTTTGAACGAGCTCATGATGCTTGGAACTGAATCGTTGCAAAACCTTAACTTCCGAGCAATCTATCATAAACAGGAAATTTGCATCGTTTATTTACTTGCCTTTCAAAAAGAACGAAATAATGAGCCATGAAAACGCATACAAAAAGAAAAAACGTTGGATTTCTCTAAAGTAGTTATGAAACCTTGTCTGAAGTAGATTACTGAAAATTTTTTTGTTCCGAAGTCGATCTAAAAGACTGCAATAAATCAAACTAGCGTGAAGTTTTTGAGTACATACCATCTTGTCAACGGAGATAAAATCATGTTCTAGGTTTGAACCCGTTTCAAAATTTTCTTTTATCATCGTCTGTGTGCCTCGTCTTGATCGAAAATTTTCTGAGTGCATTATGCAGTACCTACTTTATAATCCACAATCGTCGGCGTCTAATTCTCCAAATGCTGAGGTGAGTCGTACAACTCTCCGCTTTCTGATGCTAGCGCACCGCCATCTCTCTGTGAGCTCCACATAGCACAGGCTCACGACATATATGTATACTTACTGAGCATGTAGACAAAACCATATCATATAAAAAATTTGAACCCCCGGCCAGCAAGCGATGTCATGTGTTCAAGAGCCACGTTTAGAGAAGTAGTGAAAAAGCTATTTGATAGGTTAAGCAGTAACATCGATCAGTCTATAAGCGGCTGTTAAAAATTTGTGTCATAATCGTAAGACATTGGAGATTTTTGCACATTACTATTGTTGTACTTTGCTTACTCTTTAACTGCTTGACGGCTGGAAAGCGAAGCTTCGTGGCCTAATTGAGTCTAGGTAATGATTAGAGAGCACACCCGCGAGAGAAACGCAGACTGCGTAACAGGCGCGAGCGGCCTCAATCAAGTCACAAAGCCCCGCCTTCCAGCCGCCAAGCCAGTTGAATCAAAGGTTAGATTCCTTTAAAGTATGTTTATAGACGGCTTCACGGAAAGTTGTGCGACTGCTTGTTGTGTCAGTCAGCGTATCCTGCATTGGATTGTTCATATTGTTGCAAAGGTGCAGTTTGGTTTGCTTTGCCTACCTGATACTTCATTTTCATAGTAATTTAATGATATCCAGCTCACCAGAACGTGACGAGATACAAATTTACAACGATGACATACGGATCACATATGTACCGGAGAAACAGTCAGTTTTCTGCCTTTTCTTCACTTCCTTTCTTTCAACGTTGGGCATAAAATTTTCATGTTTCAGAATAGTTGCACTCTTAATTTCAGGAGGAACTTATCAATCGGCATAATTGAAGTGGTTAGGGCAAGTACGTCACCGAAGGAGTATCATACCGCAATGAGTTAGCTGACTCTTACACACTGCTTGTTTTTTGTTTTTGATAATATTGCAAGGGATACAGGCTTGAAAAGCAGCACTATAGAACAATGGTGTAAGCTGCGTTGAGTAAGTACATACACTGCACGTCATCATACTTAAGTTTTTTTGGTATAGACAGATTCAAAACGGAAAACCTCACAGCTTTTAAAACCAAAAGGTCCTCTTTTTACTGCATCTTTCGTAATATTATTGTACGGAAGAGTTGCTCGCACTCAACGTAGCGCTCTCGCAACCACAAAATGCCTTCTTTTTGCTGCACATTAGATAAAAATATTGTGCGCAAGACCGCTTTGCAAGGCAAAGCGATGCTGCAGAGCTGCTCGTATTTGATGTAACAAAAAGTGCGTCCTATTTATGTGGAATTAGGTTATGTGTTCCATATATCCCTAATATCTATTATTTTAAATTGAATAGTGAACTTCAGACAGTTGAAATCACGGATCTGTCTTGAAGAGAAGGCTTCAGTTCATTTGTCAATGGAATAACTCATTGTTAGAGGTACTGTGTATGTAATCAGCCGAATATCAGTGACCACCCCGCTCTCATTAACTTTACCGAGAAGAAAATTTTGAAAAGCAAAACTACGCATTTTTGTACACTAAAATTTCGTCACCAAAGCAATCTTTCCCGAAATCAATCATGCAAATGCAACGTCAGAATATGAAATATGTTGCTGCATAATTTCTGTCTAATTTTTTTGCCTTATGTTTGAAGCAACTGTTCTAGAAGAATTTCATCTCTAGTGCGGCATTGTTAGCATCATTAGAAAGTGCTTTTCCTACGCTTTCTAAAGCATATCAAATTTCAATAAATTTTTTATGTACGGAGATTTCAGGCCTAAAATCTCTAAGTGGCCGAGGTACGTTCTTACCTTTGATATATGTTCTTGCGAGGAAATTTCCACAATGCGCTCTTCAAGTCAAGTTTTTTCATTGGCTGCGGAATAAGGATGCAGAAGGCTAGTATATGCAGAAGTTCGGTTTCGTGAAGAAAACGTCTTGCTAGTAAAATTTAACGTCGAACATTAATTTTTTGTATAGATGTTTTACACGCAAACTTCCCGGGAATAGAAGTAATCGATAAGCTCAAAGTTGGAAGTGCTAGGGCAACGCAAGAGCTAGCAGGGCCCATCCACCAGTTCCTTTTCGGCGCACATGTCAGTTGTAAAATTTTCATAATTCGTAAATAAGCATGCACACTTGTGCTGAAGCGAGGTCAAAAAGTGGCTTCTTTTGCTCGGTCAAAAAAATCTCTCGGCAGCGCAGACCCTATGGGCTCTTTTATGCTGCATAGTAATCTACGAAGATTTCTCTATCTATCCATTGTTCGATAAGATGATCGTTCGCATAAGGGAGCGTTGCCATGTCGAAAAAGATAGGTCTGAAGAAAAACGCTATGAAGTTTTTGCATTCTTGCTTCTTCCTTAACAAGGATTTGCGCAGTCTCAATATGTGTTTCATAGCCAAGGAACTGCTCAATACATAGAAACTGAGATCTTGGAAAAGAGTCGATTTTCAAAGAAGTCACGACGTTTTGAACTAAAAAAAATTAAATCGGACAGTACTTATGCAGCAACCTAATATAATCAACATTTCGCACATTTTCTTCTTTGGCATATTGTGTTTCACTTGTGTTTAAATGGGAGTTTATGCAGTTTCAGGTAATACAGAAGCATCTGGTCCGCTTTATAGATACTTAGTCACAGAGCAAGTTTGAATACAATATGTTGCACAGGGCATGAATCAGAATATACGCCACAAATAAGAAATGTCTTGTTTGAATGACACTGAAAGCAGCGTCAGACACTCGTTCCCTGTACCGTATTTAGCGGGCGATCCCATCGGCTTGCAGGGTTTTGCGCGGGGACCCATCACGGTCACTTCCCACGGTAGCTGCAATTCGATGCAAATCGTCCGCCAAGTATACTATCGGCTCTGATTTGGGGACAAATAAAGTTTGCTTCAATCCCAACCAGGCCAAAATGGGCCGGCGGGAGTCGTGTCGCGACGGTATTGTGTCACGTCTACGGCTAGCTAGTCTGCATCTCCTCAATCTCTTCGCTCTGTGCGACAGTGCGCGTGTGCAGCGCAAACCTCCAGCACTGCGAGCGCGCAAAATCAGCGGCGGTTCCGCCTGATCCCGATTGGGGCAGACTGTATCTCAACCGCAAGTGTACCATTTGCGCCGCCGCTTGAGCAGTGCCTCGGATAGGCCATCGAAATTGCGCTTTCTAGTGTGGGTTTTCGGATTCAGCGCAGCAGATAGGCCCGGGTAAGCACAAAATCTCAAAATCGAGTTTTTGCCCGGACACTGCCTTTAAAGGCAGTGTCCGGGTAAAAACTCGATTTCGAGATTTTGTGCTTACTTGGGCCTATTCGCTATGCTGAATCCGAAAATGCACATTGTAGAGCGCGAAAATGGCGAAAAACGGCTCTAACGCAGGAGGGAAATGAGCAGGTGGGGGGGGGGGGTCCTCCCACTGCGAATTCACATTCCCGGCTCCCGGAGCGACCTTCTCGCTTCTGGTTTTAAGTCAATCATTCGCACTTGGTTAGCGATGTTTGAACGGCTAGCGGAATCGAGAAAATCGCTCCGGGAGCTGGGAGCGTGAAATCGCACTGGGGAAAGCCCCGCCCACCTGCTAATTTCCCTCCTATATTAGAGCCCTTTTTCGCCGTTTTCGCGCTTTCCAATGTGGATTTTCGGATTCAGCATGGCGAATAGGCCCGTACAAACACAAAATCTCAAAATCGAGTTTTTGCCTGAACACTGCCTTTGAATCACATGACCGCCTGCCCTCGGCGATTATCTGAGCATGTGCCCAGATTTGCCTGAGCGCCGTTTTTAACCCATTGACGACGATGTAGGCCACCGGTGGCCCACACCTCTTGCAAAGTCATATTCATTGTAGGTCTAGTAACTTTTCCACATTTTTTTTAATGTTTTTTCAATTTTTGCACTCTTGGAACCTGCAGGCTCTGTCGTTCAAGAAAATGTTTATAGTTGTTTACAAAACAACCTTGCATTTGGTAAATAACCACGAAACTCGTCCCAAAGCGCCGCCATGCAAAATTGGGCGTCTCAATGGGTTAAGCGATACGACACCAACTTCGGTGTTTGCGCATGAGGTACGTCGAAGTTTGAAAATTTTTGAAGACATTTGAATAGCCGCGGCAAACCTCCTTTCAAATCAGCAGGTAGCGGGTACTAGCTCAGCTGGCGCCGACAGTCAATGCTTTGACCGAAATCTAGCCCCAGACCTTAGACGACGTTTTCTTGAAAACACTCCATCCACTATAAGTAAACAAAAATCTTCCTCCTCTCTAAAGTGCGGTTCATAATTATACAAACACCGCAAACTTTGAAAGTTTTTGGACTTTTTGGAAGAAAACTGAAAAAGCCGTTGGCGTACCACGCGATAGAGCACAGTCGAAAACGGTGTATGATCCATAAGAATGGAAATCGATGTCAATCTTGGGAGTGCTTTTGCGCCTAATGCGATTTTTAGCGGTTCATAATCAATACGAACACTTCAAACAAAGGTCCATTTTCATTCTAGATTGCAATCTTTCAAGTCCAAGTTTTTTTTGTAGAGTTATAGTAACAAAGTCTGACATATCTGCTACACATTGAACCAATGCAGCTTAAAAAGAGGATCGTTACTTTTTTCAGATGGCTCTAAATGCTTTTGGAGTGATTGCGCTTCAAAAACATCCGTTCTTCTGTGGTTTACGAACTCTAATTAAATTCTACCAAGGTTATGGGATAAAATAAGTTCTTTCGACAGATATTTTGTTTGCGCTTGAAAAATCTGCGTTTTCGTGCCTTTTTTCAATCAAATTTCAATCTTACCCTAAAGTTAGCACGATTTCGAGCCTCAAAACTCAGCTTCCGAAGCCCTACAACGAAGTAAGCACATAGTATGTAGAAGTTCACAAGACTGTATATTAGAAGGCGGTCGATTGATACCCGGACAGCTGCTTGCAGCCGCCCCGGTTGGTAATTAGCGAGGAGCGACGCAGGCTTACTTGCGTTGCGCTACGTGGCAACCCAAATCTCCTGCCATTCACTCACCACACTCTGAGATGCGAAGAGACCTAGGTCATGCATCACAGTGCTAATGGTGCAGCCAATACAACTAGAAATAACTGATATACGTACAGGGTGTCCCAAAAAAATGTGAACACTGTTTGATCGTTAATAACTCCGTTGCTTTTATGTCTTCCGCCGAGCTTGAAGCACCTTTCTGTAGAGCGAGGTTCAACTTAGATTTGCGGCATGGAACGAATCACCGATCGCTCTTCATTACTGTAGGATTACGGTATGAACTTCTGGCATGTGGATATATTGTGAAATATGCCATTTGACAAATTTTTTTCAAAAAATTTAAAAAATCGTGTGCTAGGGTTTTCGCGCACGCTGATTCCATTGCACAACTTTTTACGAGTGTTTTTAGCTTTTTTGACGGTGTAATCACATTTTTGACAAATGCTGGAAATTCGGTTATTAAGGTTTACCTGGGATAACCTTAAAAGAAAGCGTCACAGTGAAGTGGAAATTTCATATTCGAACTCAGCGGCTTCCATTAGCCATGTATAAAAGTTTTTGGCCTGCTTAGTTTTGTCCCGAGGCAGAATATGGCTTTAAACGGCTCAAAATCCTTGTCAAAGTTCCTACCGTAATCCTACAGTAATGAAGAGCGATCGACGAGTCGCTCCATACTGTAGATCTAAGTTAGGCCTCGCTCTATAGAATGATGCCTCAAGCTCGGCGGGAGACATAAAAGCAAGGGAGTTATTAATGATCAAACAGTGTTCACATTTTTTTGGGACACTCTGTATACTGACATGATGAGTCAGCAAATCAGCTATAGGGTATTTGGAAAATCGTGACGATGGCGCGACCGCTCGCGACACGCACTCCACTTCAGGCGATCGCGTCCTCTTGCTTTTCATCTCTAGT